AAATAACCCACTTCATCTCAGTGTTCAGTGGTTTGGTTCAAATACCTTCTGTAGAACAAACACCTATCGAAACCCAAACCAGAGTCTTTGGAGACCCTTCTGTCTTAGGGGGACCCCTGTAAGTTAAATTAAAATGGCTAACCAGTATATTGGACCTACCCCTTACTATTGAACAGTCTCATTAGCTGATATTTTGCACTTAAAGCAATAGTAAAAATTCTCCTCTCCTATTATTTTCCGTGTTAATGATGTACATGTGACAGTAACAAGTGTCACATCGTGAGGTGAAAGTAATGCTAGCTCTGAGGGATAAGGTCGTGTGACAACTTGACTGGGCCATGATTCTCAGAGATTTGGCAGTTATGTGATGACATAATAGAATCATTTCACAATGATGTGGTGGGCAGTTATGTAATGATGTAATAGAATAGTTACACAATGATGTGGTGGGCAGTTATGTAATGATATAATTTGGTAGTTCTGTGTAATGATATGGTTTGGCAGTGATGAAATGCTGTTATTTGGCAGTATGTAATAATGTAATTATCTACCATGTTGTGAGCGGATGTGGTCATCTTCCATTTTCACATAATGCTGGCTTTTGCGTCATGACCTAGTCTTGGCAGCCTGACCATGTCAAAGAGTAAGGCGTGGGTGTATTTGTGTTAGCAAAGAAATGTCATCAATACCATGAACGAAAGGAATGGTTCTTGCATTTGCTGTGTCCTTATAGAACACACGTTCTTTTTGTGTCTCTCCATATACCTCTTGTGTAGGCTACCGAGGACAGAAGGGACAAAGAGGTGAACCTGGAATTGGGCTGCCAGGGAGTCCTGGACTTCCCGGGACTTCAGGTAATAGTAATATTATCTTCAAACACAAGACGTGGGAACCACCTCTTCTCCGCTTTGGCTCTTACGTGCTGCCTCTGCTCAGTAAGAATGATCTACGTTGGTTGAGTGGAAAGGAAGGGTCATGTGTGATCTGCCTTTTTCTGATGGGGTATTTTATTTCATTAGCCCCAGGTATACCAGGCTCCCCAGGTGCTCCAGGTCCTCAAGGCCCTCAGGGCCCCAGCGGAAGGTGTAACCCAGAAGATTGCCTCTACCCCGTGTCTCACGCACGGCAGCGGACAGGTGGAAAGTGACCTACACGCCGAGGAAGACCTGCTTCCTGGTGAGAACCTCCTTGCCACTGGAGGTATCTTCATACCGGCAGCCCTCGTAATATGTGGGCTTTTGTTTTGTTTTGTTTTATAGGCCAGACATTGAAAGCAACTATAGTAATTATACTGGCAACATTTTTTAAGTTTTACCAAATTCATTCCATATATTTTCCTCTACCACTACTACAATTTTTATTCAGGGGTTTGTATGACATATGCAAACACAAGCAAGTCTTAATCTTTATCTTCTTCGAGAGGAAATTATATTTCGCTGTTCAGTTGACTGATGATGTACATTTTGTGGTTTCATCATGTGTTTGGTCTTTGGTTTCTGAATTTTGAAGTTTCATATTTTTCTTGAAGTTTTCTTGGTATTTAAATTTACTTTCATGGCTGAAATTTTTGTCAACTTTTTAAAATAGTTTAGCACTCCCATTGAATGTTTCTGACAACTTTTTGTAGCATATGACTTCTTACACCATCCGACAGCAATCCTGCTCATGCAGAGAAACAGATAGGCAATAAGTGCTTCACTTTACAACTTATTTTGGAAACACCACATGAGACTATTTTATCAGGGAGCCAAAAAAAGAAAGAAAGCAAAGGAACTATCTTTGCCAACTACTGAAATGATGTTGTTTGGTCTGTGTAATGAACTCAATTCAAAGCACTCACCAGTGGCAGGGCTATGCCCTGCAGAAGAAGGAGGGACCCATTGTGATTGCCTAAGCACATGTTCCCCAAGGAACTATGAACACTCTCGATGGCCCCTTCCCTGAGCCCGTCACTGGAGAAACAGGAAGATGTTTTCCCTAAGAGGTGTTTGCTCATGAAAGGAACCAAGCTGTCATTGCTACTCTTGAAACTTGAATGACCTGCCAAGGAAGGTCCGTGGGCTCCAGCCACCATTCTCCTCTGGCCTCATTGCTCTCACAGTTGAAGACCCAAACTGGACAAAGAACAAAGGTTGGGATTTATAGCCATTAGAAAAGAAACACCTTGCCCTAGAAGACGAATGTGTGGCATCCGTCCCAGAATTCTCAAAGGGAATGATGTCTCAGCAAGACACACAGGGCATTGAAGGAAAGCCATGGGAAGGAATGCACAACGCTGAAGATGCACTCAGACCAGAGGTAACACTGGTGACTGGGAGAAGCCACGGGTGCTGCCAGACCACATCCGCGGAAATCACACGGAAATATCATAATCACCAACCAACTTTCTAAATGGTCTTTTTCTTGCCTAGCGCTATGTTATTTTGAGGAGCCTTTGGATGAAAACAACCATCAGTTTTCCAGGATAGTGGACAGGAGGCTGCCACGGAAATCCCGGCGCTGGTCCCAGGGATGCTGTGAAGCAGCCCACACCTGTTCGGGGCAGTACGAATTCCAGTTTGGCTACACCAGGGCAAGATGATTGCTCTTGCCTGTTCATAGAAAGTTGGTGTCGAAGGGCGAGCCCACTGCAGCGGGAAAAGCTGTGGACAGAGCAGTGCACGCAGTAAGGCACTGCTTGCCCCAGGGCACCCCTGACTTGAACTGGCTTTCAATCTAGCTGGATGAACTGCTGGCCAGGTGTAGTCCACAGGGCTGTGCACACCCCAGCCTTCTAGTTAGTTCATCTTGGTTTATGCTGGCTGGTTGGAGTTTTAGGATTTTTTATTACAAATGTATTTATTTTATTGTACAACTTTATTTTATTTATTTTAAGTGTTTTTAACTCTAGGTCAATTTTCTTCTTCATTTTCTTACCTGTGCAATACCTACAATGGTGCTGTGTTTTAAACTTACACAATTGGAATATAAATTTGTGCGTTTCTTACTAGGGTGATAATTTATCCGAAAAGCTGTACATAGATCTAAAATCTGGTGCTATGTGTATATCTTGATCTTTTCATTTGTTTAACAGTAATTCTGAAAGCATATGATTTATCTATAGGAAGTCACTCATTCATTTATTTGAGTTTGTCAGAAAGCTAATTAAGCATTTTATGTTTTCAAAGATTATTTTTCATAGTAATTAACTGGTTGTTTATCCTATGCCTCTTTGCTAATTCTAAAATATTTTATTTCAGCATTTTAATATTTCGTGGACTTCTTTGCTAATTGTGAGCAATATATTTTCTTGTTGTTTTTCTTCCTTTGAGGTAATGCTTTCATATACATAAAAAGCAATTCAGTTTTCTTTCATGAATTCTGTTCATCTAATTCCACAGAAGATGTAATGCATATGTTCCTAAAAAATGTATATTAGGAATCTTTCTTTCTGTGATTTTCTTTTTACAGGTTTGGTTTAATCCTGTTTCAAAGATTTGGACTCATTCATGGGACTGGGGTGGGGGATGTAGGGTGATATGATGCAGATTGCAAAGGACAACCGTCAAAGGGTTGAAGCTCTTCTTTTTTTTTTTTTTTTTTGGCCCCTTGGACACATACTAAAGCTGCCCTTGACATAGCGAGAAAATTGGGCTCCGCACTCTCCACACAGTACAAACCTCTCTCCCTGCACTACTGTCTTTTCTCACCCTTTTCTCTCCCTCATTGTATGCCTCTGATACCCAATAGGGAGGGCGGAAGAGAGACAGAGACCAGATAAAACAGCACAAGCTGAAACAGAGATTTGACAATTGCCTAATTCCTTTCATGAAGGACACCTGGTGGGGCCCTAGGTTGTGCATTGGGCTACAACCACGGGGTTGGCTGTTCAAAACCACCAGATGCTACTTTGGAAAAAGGTTTCTACTCTTGTAAAGAATTACAACTTTGCAAAATTGGTGCAGTTCTACGCTTGTCCTACAGGGTTGATCTGGGACGGAATCGACTTTTGGAGTAATTCCTTTCATGAAAAAGAAATTAAGCAAAATAGAATGAGGATTTTTTTCCCTCTAAATAATTTTTGTGATTTCCAAATCTCTTGTACCATTTTTATTCCAGTCCAACACATTTGTTTACTCCTACATAGATGTTAGTAATGTCCATAGCAGGAAAGAAAAATGGTCAAATTTCCTGAATTATCTATTATGCCAAATAATTCTAGGCCTTGATGATCATTCGTAATTAAAATATTTGCCCTACACGAGTATGTTTGAGTTCCAGTCTTCCATACCAAGATTAATGAACACTTTTCAGATAGAAATCCTTCTAAGCAAAGAAAAAATATATGGCAAATTAATCGGCACGGCCTTTGGCATCTGAGGAGAAGGGGAAGGATAACCCATGAATTTGCCCTTTGCTCTTTCCCACTAAGGACATTGTCACTTGTAGTCACAACAGAAACACAACCAGTCTGAGCATTGCCAGTGGTGCACCTGGTGAACTCTAATGACTTAGGTACACCTAAATTTCCTCCTCTGTTTCTATTTCCTGACATTGCTGAAACTTACCATTGTGTTCACCTGTTATGTTATGGAGCTTAAGCAATTACCTTAAGATACGTTATCTATTAAAATTGTCATTTGATGTTTGGCTTATGAAATAACGTCTTATGAATGTGTGTGATGAGTTAGGTTCCCCCTGTGCGGCAGTTTTTCTCCTGTGAGCACCTGTGATATACCTCCTTTTGTCCACAAGATGGTGCTCAAATCATCCATTCGGAGGAAACAGCCTCACGGAAATCCAAGACAGTTTAGTGGATCAGACCCTGGCCTTTGCACTTATTTTTTTAATTTTGTAAATAATTTCATTCTGCGAGTTTATGTTTTGATCGTGTTTATGTTTTTCCTCATTTTAAGTCTTTCTATGAGATGCCAGCACAATGGCCTCTGTTCAGGCCCAATGGGGTTATGTGATACAACTGATGGGAGTGGGTTACTTGTTTTATGGATTTGTCGAAGGTGAATACGGGGCAGAATGGGAGATTTCATTAAATTTAAGAGTAGTTAAATAGGATTTAAACTTATCCGAAGCGTGTGTGCTGCTTGCCCATGGTGTGTATTGGTATAAAGATGCTAGTTATTTTACAACTTTTTGTTTTGCTGTATTATTTGAAGTATATCTTAAGGGTAAATATTTCCAGTGTATTAATGTATTTAAATTCAAGTTGTATTGTGGCGTATTTTATAGCTATTTATTTTTTTTAATATCTTTCAGGATGTATTTTCCTCAACTTATTTGTTCCCTATATCATACTATAAAATGATTTAAGCCTGCCTCATGTTAAATGGAATGGCACTATTTCTTTTTCTTCGAAGTCCCATGTGGGTATAATACTTTGAGGCCTTGATTCCTATTGGTTTATTTTGCATAATGAGTTTTGCACCTATATCAGCAATAAAGAATTTGACCTGAAATCAGGGAATTCTGAAGTGCAGTTATTCTCGCCACCATTTTTCTGATGGAAGCTCCAGATCTTCAACTGCGGGATGTTCCAAATGCACTCGGGTAGCCAGGCTGAGTCACACAGGCGCCCAAGGTCACTGTGAACGGTCTCTGGCCTGGTTCTTGTCTCCACTGTGAGCATGTTGCTGACCAGTCACGAGTATGCTCTTGAGTGCTTGCATGCCTGAAGGTTGCTGGATTGTCACAAGTTAACTGGTGTTTGCACTTAGATTCGTTTATGCCGTTTGTGAGCTTGCAAACAATCTAGGTGTGTATGGAAGCCAACTGCACAGGGTAGTTTGGGCTTGAAATGGCCGGTCAGCAAGGTGTTACATAGATACATACTTGGCTCATGAGACAGTCATCTATTGGCACCTCCTAAGTTGCCTAGTGGCTGTGATGGCAAGTAGGAAGAAAGTCAGCGCATGTCCTTGGAGACTCGACCCACAGAGCGGGCTCCGCTCTCACCTGGTGGACTCTGCTAAGAACTCGCGCTGTTGACCTTCTCCTAAGTGTTGCCAATCATTTCTAGTAAGCCAAGGGGCCAGAACTTGTTAAAGATGCAGCATGTTTTCTTAACAGAAAATTAATTACATCAAACCACGCAGTGGGGTTTGTGGATTTATTTCAGCTGGGAAATCATTTAGATGGCTCTTAACTGTTCTCAACTTCAGGTCTCCTGTTAGAGCCGGTTAGCTAGCTGCTCTCCAAGGAGTAGTGTAGAGTCTGTTCAGCTTACAGGAAATAGACAGATTCAAAGGCATCGCAAAAGCAAAGTTATCTTCTAGAAACCAGTGGCCCGTTCCTCATTTCTATTCTCTCCAGTCATCCTTAGACGCTTTAGAGTCAAGAACATGGTGTGAAGGCGTGGTGTTAAGGGAAAGGTTAACTTGAACTGAAAGGGCAGTTGTGAAGACTAAAAATAATGTCTGTCAGCCTTCTATCCTTCACAGAGCAACGTGTATGTTTCGTATCCTTTCGTTCATCGTTTAAAGAGCATCTGAATGGGTGGCCTTTAGTCACGCATGGTAACAGATAACCAATTTTAATATTTACTGAGCCACATTCACTTATAGTCTAGGTGCACAATTGACAAAGTATTTATTTCAGATATTACAAGGAACTGAACCATGTTGTGAAAATAAGTATCCTTTAAAAAAAAGATGCTTAGAATCATCTGTGTCCATTTCCCATTTGTAGGCAGCAAGATTATTAATCAGCTGGTAATTTTTTTCTTTCTTAATACAGTCTTTAAATTCTTTTTGCCAGGGCTAACAACCCATTTTAAAATGCTTACAAGTAATTCTCTTGACATTTGGGATGATTTGGTGTGTTTCTAGTGATTTTCCACCAATATCAGTTTTTAAAACTCAAACACTGTGTTTTTGTGACTACAATCATAGTCACAAGAAATAAAGAGTACAATCAGAGGCAGAATCCTAAAGCAGGACTTACATTAAGCTTATTTTCATCGGCAGATAAAATGTACTAATGACATTTAAGAGGAGCAGTATTGGTTTAGTCAGCTTGAAACAGCCAGGCCTCCAGTCCAATCAATCAGGCAAGTGACAGCACTATCCCATCATCCTCTTCTGTTAGGGAGAAGTCAGTTTTCCAAACCAGGCCAGTGCAGGTAGGTGCTCAGTCAGGCAGACAGTGGTGTCTCTCGTGCCTAACTAGCCTGTCAGGTGTTGGGAATGAGAATCATACCAGGCTGCCACGCCATGGAGGCTCAAACCAGAAATAAATCAGGAGTCATTGGCCCTGGATTGGCATGCCAGTTTCTAACCCACTTTAATTGTTCACCTGCTCATCAGAGAGTGCCCTGGATGGGCAGCCCCACGTTCCTGACAGTTTTAGAGTTTTGGGAGGTTTCTGTTTTGCTACAGGGATACCGGACGTCCCTGGTTACAAACTCAGCTGTGCTGCTTCCCCTTGCACGTGGTGTAAATTTGCCCTCCTCTTGAAAGGCTTGACCTCGTCACCACAATGGCCTCCACCTGCCGTGCGCTGCTTGGAACGCCTTGAAAAGGTGGGGGGCTTTTCCTGTACTAATGTGAGGTTCCTCAAGAACCATACGCATCTGTGCTGCCTGCCCTGAAAATTCAACTCACAGACACTTCGGAGTGGATCTCCTGCCCTGGGGCCCGCATGGGTCCTTGGCCAAATCCAGTAGTCAAGAACTTTCTTTTCCAAAGAGGGGACTGCTGGGTATTTTTGTTTGAAATTTTGTATTCCCGTATCTGCTGCTTCTGCACACTTGGACGTCACTGACAGGTAGAATAGAAGGCTTCCCCTTTGGGAATGTGCCTGTTTGGCACCCTCCCCTTAGGAGCAGTGTCCAGTGGGTGTTGCCGACTGCCTCTGGGGAGCTGCTTGTTCGGCATTTTGGAACACACATCAAATTTGCAAAGCAGTTGAATAAACTCCTTGGATTTTTTTTAACAATTTTTTTAATGACTGATATTCTACAATTAAGAAACATGTTTATTCGGTTTCCCCCACCCCCACCTTGATGTATTTGGTCGGGTCACTCCAGTTAAAATAAAACCATTTGGGGGAAATGATAATGCAATTTCTTTGCAGCTATTTGATTAGCTATCATGGCACCTGAAAAGAATTACTTTTATTAAAGATCATTGTAGGTCATTATAAGAGATTCCTCTAGCTCCACAAACTATTTGACCTGTGTGGACAGAGCCTCCTCCTTGTCTGCGTAATGGTATGGATCTATATAGCCAAATAGGAACAATTCTCCGTAAGCACACTCCAGGCTACTAACAAAGAATTAGATACAGTAAGCAGTTTTTAAGAAATCCCAATGCATATTGCATGGCGATTGGTTTTGCCAAGCAAATAGGGCTAGAATTTTAAATTCTAGAAAATACACACAAGAAGAATGATATCAAAAACCCTACTAGGGCTTTCCCTTGTATAAGAGAATTATGTTCCATAAACTAACCGAAGATATTAATTTGAGCTATTTCACTCATGCCCTGAGAGACAAAATGATCAATAGCATCAATAGATGGTGTGGAAACAGCAAACCAGTGTGACTACATAAGTTAGTGTTTGAGTGATTGGCAGTACCTATCTTATTGATAAAGTGTCTTAACTGCCTTTATAATTTAAGAAAAATGGTGAAACAAAATTCACTTTTGCAGCAGTGGAATTCTGAACATGAGGGAGCTTGGACACTATGGAAGTGAAGACGGTGAACCTTAGTCCAGAAGAACGAAAACTCAGAATCCCCACCCCACTGCCCTCAGGTCGGTGCCAACTCACAGAGAGCCTGCGTAGGGTTGCCAAGACTGTAACTCTTGACAAGCGTCAGCTTTCTCCTGAGGAGAGGCTAATGGGTTTGAACTGCCGACCTTGAGGTGAGTGACAGCCACTGCCTCGCCCACAAGACCCACCCAGGCTTCTCCAAAGGGCTCCTGAAATTTCTGAAATAGTATGCAAATACGTGCATATGCATTTCTGTATTTTTCTGAGAAAATTTCATTAGAAAATAAATTTCATTAGAAGATCAAAAAGGGCCATGGAGTCCTCCCCACTCTAAGCTACGCACGGGAATTTCTATCCTGAGCTAACACTAGGGGAACAGTCAGGAATTCTTCATTGTTCTGTGTAGGAAAACACTGAAATTATAAGCATCCACCTAGAGAAATATCAGTTATCTTAAATGTTCAATGTATCTGAGTAGGGTCAGACTCCTTTTCACTGAACATGAATATTTATAAGAAAACATGCAAGAGATTAAGAAATCGTATTTATTTCGTTTTGGTACAACCAGAGACGTTACCTTGAGCTTTGACAATAAATAATCTCATCAACAGGATTTACGAATGCCAAGCTATTAAAATCCCTTGTTTATTTTCACAGAGGAGTTAAAAAATGAGGAATATAATGGAGTTCCGCAAAAATGAAAACCGACACGTGATGTAAGGAGATCACTCCAGATGACACCACCCTTGTTTTGCCACTCCCCAGAGGACGCGTGGATGGGGGGGTTTAAGCACCAATTCTATTGAATTCCAGTGGGGCTTCTTTGTAACCAGGCCAATGACTCTCTCCACAGCCTGAAATGAATCTCTGAGACCCAGGCTTACATGGAGTGTAAAAATAATTACTGCATCTGAGGTAAACCCAACAGTTGTTTGGGGTTATTAGCACCACGGCCCAACATATATACCCCATATGGATAGCACACGAAGAGCACTATTCTGGAAACAGGACAATAAATGGGAGGTTTCTTAGGGATGACTGCCATCTTCCCTCCGGGGAAAGGAGGAAGGCTTCTTGGATAGCACCATGGGTCTGAGTCTGATAATCAAGCAAGACACCTGTCATCCTGTGAAAGGTAAGTGCTTTGCTGTGTTTCCCCCCAGCTTCGGGTGTTGTTTCTCCACCAAACCCCCTCACCCAGTGTGGCTTCTGCGGCCCACACTCAGCCAGCCCTTCACTGCCCCGGCCCCTTGCTGAAAGCTCGCTGGCCGGCCTGCAGGGTGCAGGAGGCTGGCTCACAGAAACCAGGAAGGCCAGGAGGCCCCGGGGGCCCGGGCACACCAGGAATTCCTGCCACGCCAGGTGGGCCTCGTTCACCATCCTGGCCATTTCTCCCGTAGCTGGCAGGGCCTGGGTCACCTGAAACACACAAAGGGGTGCGCACGTGAGCAGGGCTGGCAGAAAGACTGGCAGAACACATTAGGCCAAAGGCTTTTAGAAATTTCTCAGGATGATGGTGGTGGTGACGATGATGCAGCCGCTTCACCAGACTTGGGTTTCATGCAAATGACTGGTAAAATGCCCAGGTCTCTAGATTCCAGCCACGGCTGGGGACCCAGACCCTAGCTACCAGGAGTCTTCACCGAGCTGTAGACCCCCGTGCTCCTGTTGGGACTTCTGGAGGAAGCTAGCAAACACCACTGAGCTGGCGTGGTCATTGCTAAGTATGCTTCTCTGGTTCTGAGTGAAGGTTGTGAGGTCTTACTGGGCCTCCTTGTCTTGACCTCCCTGCATACATTAAACCAGTGTGCACGCGGCCAGCATGAGCCTGTCTGCCTACACTCGCCAAACAGCCACGGGCCAGACCTGAATGCACACGAAAGGTGATTTTTAAGCACCTTCTCTGTAGCCGTGTCGGTGAGCTTTGCCTTCACAAAATCAAGTCCAGATCAGGGGGAGGAAATGCAAAGAGGGCCGCAAGCCAAATGACCACAGGTGGCTGGGCAAGTAAGGTAGACGAGGGTTCCGCAAACCCCACCCAACATGCGAGTCCTGTTTGGGGAAATAAAGTTTAATGGTGCGCGCCCTGTCCGGTGTTTTGCACATTGTCTATGGCTGCTCTGGCGCTACCAGGACAGCACTGAGTGGCTGCAGCAGGGACCACAAGACCCCAAAGGCCTCTGGCCCTTTTATAGAGAAAGCTCACCAACACCGGGCTCAGTGAGCTAATGAGTCAAGATTAAGAAAATGTTAGCACAGACACAATGAAAATTTGACCATTGATGTCCATGTAATGTAGAGTCTAAAGCAGGGGCGGCAAACTGGCAGCCTGCGGGCTGCATGTGGCCCCGCGAGGTAATTTTTTGTGGCCCACAATGCACTGACATAAAATGAAAATAGAAAAAATTGTTATGAAGAAAATAGTGCTTAAGGGAGATCGAGGCAATACTATACACACAATTCCCTCATTACATTTTATGTCAGAGCATCGTGGGCCACAAAAGAATTACCTTGGGGGCCGCATGCAGCCCGAGGACCACCAGTTTGACACCGCTGGTCTAGAGGAAGCTAGCCGTATAGTGGCGCTGCTCACAGCTGCAATAGCGGAACCTAGGTCAATGCTGCTGGACCTGACATTTCTCAGAAGAGCAAGGAAGTGGG